TTTCGGTCATCGTAATTGACGCGATAATATCCTGCAATTAAAGAGAAAATTAGCTTCTCCTATTAAGCTATTATATCATATTCTTTAGTCATATTCAGTGAAAACTCATTCGTTAGTTCTCATGTCTCTTTCTAGAGAGCATAATAAGAAAGATTCGAATTTTCACGGATATCATCAAATATAAAATGTTACTTAACTTAAAGTAAACGTAAGGACATGGATACTCGGCGATAAATACTCACCAGTATATTTCATATTGATTATTATGAAATCATTAATATTCAATTTACTGATATATATATAAGGCTTGATACCATAAAATAAAATTTTCGATGTAACATTCATGAAAGTAAAATTTGATATCTTGAGACAAGTTATAGGTATTTTCCAATTCGCTTCGTTGAAATTATATGCTGAAAGTGTTGCAAACCCATTATAATCACAATCGACTTTCAACTCAGGAAAATGCCTTTTTGTCATCCATGTATCCATTATTTCAGTTATGTTGTAGAGCAATTTGTCATTATTTGTTAAGGAACTTTGCACAATAGCCCAGAGACCACTCATAGAATCTGTGGTATTGTCACTAAGCAAATAAAAACAGATTTTAGTAACAATTCGTGAATTTTTTATTAAGTTTGTCGGAAAAGAACGTGCCGTTTTGACGTTTAAAATGAAACAGTAAATTGAGATATTGAAACGTTTATTCAATTCATGATACCATCTCCATTTTAATCGATAATCTGCTGCCACCTTAGAAGTCATACCAATTCACCTCACATTATGACTGCTTCTGCCACCAACGGAATCTGTCGGAAAAACGGCACGAACTTTTGCAACAACCTAATACTAATTTAATCTTGAAGAAAGTGATTGCCATATTTTACGTCGATTTCGTAAATTATAGTCCCAGCAGACAAGATAAAGTTTTAATAACGGATTATAGACATCTTCAGTGTCAATTATACGTCATTAATAGAGTTAATGTCGTATTACAATTTAGGGTAAATATATCAAATAATACATTTATGACATATGAAAGAAATCTTAAATTCCGAAGATGTCTTACAAAATTATTAGAAGGATATTGTGTCGCAATTTAAGACGTCTTCGAAACACTTTCAAAATGTCTTAAGCAAGATGTATTTATGACATATTTGGATTCGCGTTTTTTCGTGGAATATGAAATAATTAATTAGGATGCACTATTATCTCATTATATAATGCATCACTCACCATTTCTTCGCAAGTTTCCGGATAATTTCCTTGTAGACATATTCCGGCGCTTCGAGAGAATAAAATAACATGCGCATTATAGCAGCTCCTGTAATAATTTATAAGCACAACGGAATAAATTAATTTAATCGTAGAGTATTATACTTAAGTGTAGTATTCTTGGGTGTAGCATATCTGTGCTATTATTGAAACAGCTACATAATAAAAAATACGGCAGAATTGAAGTTGGAAAAAAAGCTTCTTTGCAACACAAACTGCTTGCTACGCAGCCTTATTTATTTAGCACTATCTGTTTAACATATGTAGCAAATACCATTAAAATCAGTTTTGACGTAGAACTTCTTCACAATAGCGCAACGATATATTTTTTATAATACATTATCCTATATTTATTCCGCAAAGTTAACTACTTTATTTTTAATAAATAGTCATTGATTTAATTGATATAATATAGCATTACAAGCGAAACCATAATTTTTTAAACAATTAGGTTTTCGTGATTTATGAATTCCAAGCCTTTTTCAAAATTTACGTTTTTATAACATTTTATTCATAAACGTTCAAATAAAAAAAAAATTTAAGTAATACCCAGTTTCAAAGAAATGTTTATAACTAAAAGTCACTAGATGTATTACACAGCCAATATGCTAAATCGCAATTGGAATAAAGTGTAGTGCACAGGAATTAATATATAATTGCTGTAAATTACGTAATATTGAAGACTGTACGAAAAGATAAAAACAAGGTATAATGTACTTAATTTTGAACACGCTTTCAACATTACCAAATATTTCATCTCCTTATAAATTCCATATTTAAAATGTACTCTCATTCAAATTAAAAATAATTTTAAATGCAGTCATGTTTTTTCAGTGTTTACAATATATAGTATACAGAAAGTTATTTATATGAGTTCATTACGTCCCACCTTTATTATAATACGGTCGAGAATAATAAATTGCATCAATTTCATCAATGGGATGCACGAATTTGTTCTGCGACACAGGTGCCATTTGGAAATCGACATCATAGTACAAAGCACCCTGCATAGTCTGAACGATGGAAAGGTCCATAATCGACGAGTCACGTTCGTACTACAAGTGAATGTTGTTGCGGTCGAGTTAATATAATACAGAAAAAATTGTACAACACAATTTTACAATATAAAGGTATGAAATGACTAACTTAAAGAAACTTAAATACATTTTGGCAACGCTAAAAATATAGAATTACCTGGAAAATGGCAAAATAACTTAAGAATGATGCAAATATCTTAATTAGCCAAAAATAACAAGGGGATATTATTTGGACGAGGACTTCCCGCGCTAATGAATCGCCTACTACCTTGTAGATATACATTTTACGACCAGGAAAATCTGTAGCATTATCGTACTTAAAGCTTTCTTCCCTGCAAAATAAACATAAAATTATTCGGTGAAATATATCTTTGCCATTATATATTCATAATTGTTTATTGTAGCGCAATTTCAGGAAGAAAATATCTTCATAAATTTCACATTTTCCAACAACTATTTGCCTCATTAAAAGTTATGTACTCGTTTTTTACACTGTCGATTAATATAATAATATCCTTTTTGAATAACAGAGGAATCATTACTCTAAAATTTTACCTCAGAAGCATTTATCAGATTGCACAATAACATTAGCAACACACTGATTATGTACCTGTATATAATAACTCCTAAACTTCCTCTAATCTGAGATGGAAAATACGGAATTACGATGTGATCAGTTTCAATACATCTATAATGGACACCAAGGTAATTTTTGAAAAGTTCTTTCGTCTTCAGAATTTCCAACGTAATGTTCGTATTTTTCACTATATCCCGTTGATACCAGTACAAATCATCGCCCAAATTACTATGAGTCATGTTATCAACCATTATGATTGCCACTTGACTTGAAGCTATAGGTTTGCTGGTATGGAAATACGTTAATGAGGTATCATCTGACTTGTTTATCAGCTGTTGTACTGGCATATTCGATATAACTTTGTACTGCTCAGGATGCTCGATAATAATCTCATAATTCATATGTATTTCCGGTTCGTCCCAACATGGAAATAATGTTCGAGCACGATTTGATGTCGACAATATTCCAAGAAACCACCTAACGCAAAGCAATATTTCAACAATGATAAATTAATTTCAGGTTTTGCATCAAATTTCATCAATTAGTTAGCTATATATGGTGTTAATTGTTATTAAATTAATAGTTATGCCTGACTCTTGGAATAATATTTATGTAAAATGACGCACCGTTCATGTTAATAGTAATTAACATTTTTTAATAATTATATAGTTTATGCAACGATTGTATTTCATCGTTAAAGTCATTTGGTTCGAATTAATGCACAAATTGTAATATTTACCGAACGATAGAATTTAAATCTCTTTATAAAAGTTAAATTTAAAGACAAAAGTTATACGACTATTTTGTGCCCGAAGTTCATTACTTTATATAAATTCAGAAAAAAATATATTTCTCCTAACGAAAGACAATTACACTTGCAGTTACATTTATATTTAATTTTCCGGAGAATACAAAATTTCCTTTGAAATCAAGCGGCACAAGTGCGGCACGACACTAAGATATAACTAAGCTGAACATAATTTAGTTTGATATGAAAAACAGCAGATAATATCACAGCACTATAAATAGCTTATCCGAAGTTTTTACGTCAAAAAAATTTTGATTAATATATCTTACCAAATAAAGCCATAAGAAAAAGCATTTTTCTTATATATTTACTAAATTTTTTTCATACTTATCATATTACTATTTGCATAAAATACTAGCTTGAAAAAATTTCATATCTTTATATCAGTTTTGATTTAAACGTTGTGTGTCTCGAAAATAAAAGAGGGAAAACAAAAGTGTAAGCATTTATGTATACATGTGTGTGTAGGTGAGTGTAATAATTATTAAGTTAGTCTAATAATTATGTAACGAATTAGTATTTTTAATCATTTTACCATATATTATTATACATTAGTTTTCATTGTATTATTACTATGCAAATATTTCCTTATTGAGCCTAAATTTTGACAGTTTTGTGTGTTACTAACTTTCTTGTATCTAGACTGTTTTGCAACCTACTATATAAAACTATAATACTGCTACTATATACTTGCTACTATATAAAACTATAATACTGTAAATTCTAAATTATAATAAAAATCCTGTAGAACATAATGAAGATAATATTGTAAGATATAGTACATCTAACATATTTTTTCTACTAACTTGGTGTGCATACATCCCATTAAAAAGCTCATTTACCTCCTAGTTGCCTCAGTTTCTGTATATCTCATATACTGATATCTGATAATGTTTTCATTCTTATTGTATATACCGTAAAAATGTATATGTAACTCGTATAATCCAGGAGATATTAAATCATCATATAATATGTCGAACCGCTGTATTTTAGTACAAACACGATAAGATGCATAACGAGTATTCGGATTCAAAGCTTCAGTTATCGATTTCAACAATATACTCGATGTATCTATATACGATCCAAAACAATGCAGACTTAATCTTTTGGTTGGTTTGTGAATTTTGATCACGATGTCGGATTCCCCATCGTAATTTTCAGATTCCATATTTAATTTGAGAAAAAGTTTATAATGTATTGGCTCTATTATTGCAATTGATAAACGTTCATCAGACATAGCGTTTTCACAATCTCTATGGTCCACATCTGCTTTGATAGCCATAGCGATGTTAAGTACCAAAGCAGTATACAATATTTGTTTGAAGCATATCGTACACATTATTGTTTGGAATATATCTGTCAAAGTAATTTACATGCTAGATAAGGAAACGATATAAAGATAAGTACTAATTAAGGAAATAATTATATAGTTTTTCTTTTCCATTATGGCGGAAAGGAGAAGAGAAATAGAAAGATATAGTACCATGTCTTTTACAGAAACAGCATAATATGTTCATAGTCAGAGGTACGTATACATTTATTAACAAGCCAAGGCAGAACTTTCTTTTTATTTTCATATTATTGACATATAAGAAAAGATTGAAACAATATCAATCAACAAGATCGGGAGATATCAACAATATCAGTTATATGTGTTCTACGGAGGATATCATCTTTCAGGGAAAAGAGAGGAATCTAAAGTTCTACATAAATTCTACATAATAATATTCATTTTGCTATATAACCATTACGTATACATATGAGTTGCATATTTTTTAAACTAAAAAGAACTTTTTTTCATAATATAAAGTTTATAAAAATAAAGAGAATACTAAGCGATTATAACAGATATATAGCATGCAGGATTTTGTTACGCGGAGAGACTAAACACATGGAACTCAATAAAATGTAACACAACAGCGCCTTAAATAGTTAGAACTGTAGAACGTATAAACACAAATTTTGTTTTAGAATATCCTGAAAATGCATGATATATTGTAGGCAACGTAATTAATTGTATACCCCGAAAAACAGAGAGAAATTAAAGGGTACAATTGTATACGAAATACAAAGTGACCCAATACTTAATGCATACTTAAAGTCTAAGAGAAAATGTTATTCAGATTTTATTACTTGGATAATATACTGTGGACAATCTTCTACGTATTTGCGGTTGCTCACTCTTAGTCTTTCGACGTATCATTTCTGACTCTTGGTAACTCTAGTATGTGTTGTTATTTATATTGTCGCTGTATATAAAAAGTATTAGCTAACCAATTGAAACTCAGTAAACGAATAATTGAAACTCATGTAAATGTGTTTATGATTAGCTACAGATATAGATATAAACACTCCTGCCGACAAACGTTATATTTTGATTCAAAATTATAACTTTCAGTAGTTACGCGACCTGCGCAAGCGTACATATATGTACATATCTATTGAAAAACATGTAGTAAATATGCTTATATTTCCTTAAAATTTCTACAAAAATTCTACGTCTTACTCAGAAAAATATTTAAATTCTTATAAATTAGAATACAGGGTAAAACGTTATTTTTACACAGCTTGCTCCAAATGGCTTCCAACTGACCTTGATGTTGACCTTGATCCTCAAGGAGGTCAAGACTACTGTTCTTTTACGGCTCTCGTTGTTCATTGCAAAGTTCTTTACAAAAGAAGATAATTATTTACATTAGGGGAACCACCTCCGATGAGGCTCCTTGACATATAGTATCAATCCAGACAGCATTAGATTTCGTGAGGACGTCCTTAGGACGTCTTGAGGAATAATTCTTTTTAAGATTTTATATCTTCTTTACTTTGATTTATTGCCATTAATTTGTAAATACTTTTAGTTACTATATTTCTTTTGGACACAACACAATATTATATATGTTTTGATTCGAATAATATCCAATATTATTCCAAAGGAAGACAGAGGAAGACAAAATGTGTATATGTATACGTGGCTTAATTTTATTTATACACAGTTGACTGGGAAACAGTTCAGACATAATAAAGTTAGCCTACAAAATTGCCAAATTAAGAGACGCTACACTTCGAAAGGCTTACTAAATTATGTTACCAATAATATTATAAATTATATTATGAATTATATCATCATAAATTATTATAAATTTTTATAATATTTAATTATAATCAATATTTAATATTTTTTATGTTATTTTTAATAAAATTGTTACGTATATCCGTCGTTAATAATTTAAAATTTTGGTGACTTGCCAACTTTCATATGTTTAATCATTTTGCAAACCACATAGTAAAAATCTCGTGACCCATAAAAATTATAATATTATAAGTTACAGGATATGCGAAGAAATTTGTTTTAGAAAGTACTAGTACATGTACTATAATACAAAATTTACTTACTTAATTCTAGCTTCCCTAGTGTCTGTATTCGTTACATATTGATATTTAATAATGTTTTTATTTGTTTTGAATACTCCCCAAAATTCTATACGTAGCTTATATAAAACAGAAATTATTGTCTCTCCAAAAATCATGCCGAGAATCTATGTTTTAGTACCAAAATGATAAGATGATGCAATATATCTACTTTGATTTGTTATATAATATAACAAATGTAACGATATGATTGATGTATTTATACCTATATCGTCCAAAACAATGCAGGCTTAATTTCTTAATTTCTTCGTGAAGGTAAACCATAATATCAGATTCACCGTCGAATGTTTGGGATTCCAAATGCGTTGGATGTAAGATCAACTTAAATTTATAATGTATTAGCTTTATTATCCTAACCGATAAATTCTCATTAGTGAAGCGTCTTCACAATTTCCATTATCCGATTCAGTTAAAATGTACATAAATAACATAGCCATAGCGATGTTAAATGTCAAAGCAGAATACAATATTTGCTTTAAACGTACCATATCCATTATCGTTTCAAACATATCTGCCAAATATAATTTACAAAACACACGCAACACTCAAGAAAATCATAACCTAAATTAAACTTTTCAGTTAAATCGAAAAAAAAGGAATAAAGAGAAGATTTATAATATATTTAATAAATATACAAGTTGTGTGACAGCATCCGTACCAACATTATTATATCGTTAAAATGGATCAAGATAAGTAATAGGATCGATACGTTTTCGAAACAACTACGTAAAATTTGGGGTACTAAAGCTCTTGAGCATTCAGCCGAGAACGTTGATAATAACATTGATAGCCACATAATGGTTAAGGACATTGGTACATCTTGCGTCAGACACTCCATATACGTATGCGTGCATGAACATATGTGGATCGATAAATTTTGACAAAATTAGAATAATTACATTTTGACATTACTGGAATATATGTAAAGAAATCAAAACAATAATGATGGTTACATGTCCTGTAAAATATATTTGCTTCATTGAAATATACGAGTTGCAATTACGGATATAACGTCAAGTAATAATATTTCAGTATCTTATCTTTCTAACGCAATACTTCAGACTAATAGCAATTCCAATTCAGTCTGTTGATATACCGGAGGAAAACAAGTTTATCTAACTAAAATAAAGATATCGCACTTAAATACCCCATGTTTGTAAACATAAATATGTATCTAAACTTTCAATCGCTTGCCCTAAATTTTATTTATAACAATATCTGACTAGAATTTGTAACGTAAGTGTCATAGTAATATATCACACAAGTGAACTTATTGTAAAAAAAATGGAAAATGTGAGTACGCACGTGTAACGGATTAATGCGAATAAAATCATTTATCAATAACTGCAAGATCAGAATTCATTATATTCATGTTAAATTTATACTCAGCCAAGTGCGTTCTTGCAAATTATTCAAAGATTCCACTTAGCCATCAGTTGCGATCCGTTTAATTATTATAGTATTATCCGTTTAATTATTATATTATTATTATAGAATTTCATAAAAGGATATGTAGGAAGACAAAAACTGTTTCAATAAATACTGCAATAAAAATATCTATTTGGAAGAGAAAATAATACAATACACATTTACAAATAAAAAAACGAAGTAGGGAGTTTCATAATATAAAATATCAAAGTGTACCACCAAGTGTACCATTATTTATTATTTATGACATAAATTAATATATTTTAAGTAATTATAATAACATCAAAGCAAATGTCTCTATTATTTTATTAAATATAACATCTACTATTAAATCGGATCTAATCTTATTTACAATAACAGATATTATACTAGATGCTAATACATAATACTGATGATTAGTATATTAATATTATACGTTCGATTACATAATTATTCGATACGTCTTTAATTTATTTGTCGATTCTAATACCTAATCAAAGAAACGAATTTAATTCTCTCTCAAACTTTCGGAAATAGTAGGATATTTTCTCTAATTGTATCTTCCGTTGCTTAACGAAAATTTCAATTTCATTTTTCTCTTTCTCTGTTAAATATCGGGTTGATTTTACAAATGCTGACACCTGAAGAAAACAATTTCAATTTACATGAATAATGTAAAATTGCAGTTGTAATTGGTGTAGGATAGGGTAATCATCTTAACAGCACAGATGTCCAAGGGACATCCAAAGTATATCCTGAGGAAGTCATAAGGAGATTTCTTCATCCTCAAGATGTCTTTAAGACGTCCTCAGGAGATCTTGTGCTGTCTGGGCACAATTAATCAGAGAATATATTAATAAAATAATTATAAAATAATTATAAAAAATAAAATATATTAATAAAACGAAAGGAGTAACAATGAAATCGACAAATTTTACTTCTTTAAAATTATACTCAAAATATAATTCCATAATAGTGATACCCAATACTGCAACTGGAGACTTACTACCCAAAATACTGTAAAAAATATACATAAAATTTATTAAAATCCTAAAATAGAACTCACTACTTCCATCTAAACTAAATATATGAAAGAAATATTACGTCGACGGTAATTTATTATAATTCCTTAAGATATGAATTAGCACATCATTCTTCCTTGCATGCTTCTTTACAAATGAACGATATGCTGTCATAATAATCTCATATGACCTTTCTAGATCTGTACCATCGTGGTTTGATATCTTTAAGTCCTCATATTTTAATTTCCATAAAAATTCCAAGTAAGCAATGAGTACATGTTCATTTTCAGCGCATGCCAAATACGTTAAATGCTCTTGAGTATTGTTGCCAGAATGGGTATCTAAAAACTGACGCCAAACCTGTAGATCTACTTCCATCAAACCTGCACAATGTACCCATTCCTTCCACCACGGTCGAACTCTATGACATACGTCAGAAACACCTCACACAAAAATTCTTTATTCAAAAGTTTTCTCTAAACTAATATTATGATATAACATGCAAGATGCAGAAAAAAATTGAAGTTATCGTTACTAATAAAGTGAGGTACACGCACGTAGCGAGATGTTTGATGAGAAAAGTCAGTATAATAGAGGCTGTTTTCCTGCACGACTTATGGCTGAATTTACAAGCCCACCTTAATCTTAATAACCTTAAAGATTTGATCATATTGTCTTCCTGAATATTTTCAATGTATCCAACATTCTCAAGAAGACTATCCAAAATTTTCAAACTAATGATATCGCACTGAAGTATCCTATGTTGGTAAATACAAATATCTATCTAACCTGTCTCAGTCGCCTAACATTAAATTTTATTTATAATCATTTTGTACTCTGAAAATTGCGAAATAACTATTATACAATATATTATGTAAGTTAACTGTTTAAAGAAGAAAAAGAAAAATCGAGAATGTAAGTATGTGAGTGCGAGTGAAATAATGCATCATAATAATGTTCAAGATTTTTATATAATTATTACTGTATTTAGATCTATTTAATCTTCAAGATTTGC